CGCCGGAAGCAGCGCCGAGCGCTCCTCCCGCCCTAGTTCCCGGGTCCCTGAAAGCGCGCGGCTGGCTGTCCGCCTTCCCCTGCCGTGGCGGGGCTGCGGTTTCACGTCCTGGGGCCTTCTCGCTGCCTTTTCTTTTGCTTTCGCTGCAATTGGGTGCAGAAGGCTCGGGAGGAGTGCAGGTCCCGCGGAGGGAGCTCGGAGACCGAGGCAGTAAGACACGCACAGGACCAGCAGGTGGTGCTGCCTAGAAGCCCTGGGTTGCGGGGAGAAGAGCCCTTGCCACAATACTGCTTGTTCTCGGTTAAAAGAAAAAAAAAGGGGGTCCTCTAGGTCCGTTCCAATTTACTCATTTCTGGAAAGGTTGAGCAATTTAATCGGGGGGAAATGGATCTTTCTTTTTGGACCCATTTTTCTTAGACTAGGGCAGGGGAAGCTGGAGGAAGACGTTAATTAGCATAAGACTCTAAAACTAAGCAAATGGTTTATTTTGTTGCGTGCTTGTGGTTTTAAACAACATTTTGACAATAGCCTCATTTCATTTGAGCATACCCCTTTATCTTTTATGGAACTGATGGTACTGTCTTAATACGGAGGAAAATGAAGGGGGTGGGAGAGCATGCTTTTTGTCTTTTAAACGACAAGCATTCCATGCCAGTATCTTCTTACTTGCAATGCTGGTGCATGTGAGATCTCATTAACTGTTTATTCAAGGTTAGAAATGTTCAGTGTCCTTATATATACACACATGTGTACATTTTTTTCTATTCCTCTGAAATTAATGTACTCAAGGTTCTTATATACCAGTATGTAACCAATTCTTGAAGAGTAGTACCATTTTGCTTACTCATGTTAAGTAAAAGCAATATTTTTATAACTTCTTTAAATGTAGCAATATTGAATTGTATGTTCTCCAGCTTTAACTTTAATCCCCTATCGTTATGTTCCCCTTAACCATCCAGTTTTATGCCCTCTACCCTACATATCCCAGGTACACATAATCGCAAAAAATTTGATTCCAACTTGAAAAGATAATACTATTAACTAAGTGCAAGACTTTGTTCTAAGTGCTTTACACATATCCTATATAATAAAAGGCTAATACGCAAATTGACCATACAGTGGAACAACCAGTTGCTATGATGTGCACTGACCACCAGGGAGCAGATGCTCAATTCAGGAGCTGCTTCCTTGTGGTCAGTGCGATCCCACAGGGGGAGCACCAGCTCAGCCAGAAGCCGATCTCATGGCTGGCGAGTGCAGCGGTGGTGGCAGGAGCCTCTCCTGCTTCTGCGGCAGCGCTAAGGATGTCCAACTAATGGGGAATGGGCCTAAGCCGTCAGTTGGACATCCCCAGAGGGCTCCTGGACTGCAAGAGGGCACAGGCCGGGCTGAGGGACCCCTCCCCCCAAGTGCATGAATTTCGTGCACCGGACCTCTAGTTAGCTCATAATAAACTATGATGGAGGAACTATTGTTATTCCCATTTTACAGGCACAGCTATGATTTGAATCCAGACAGCAACTGTCACTCTGCAACCCCCAATCCCCAGCCCATTACTTGTGACCTGTAATGATTACACCATGCCTACTTTCCCATGCCTATAATTCCTACTTTCCCATGTAATCTTTGTCCTTCTACCCAATATAAGTAGCTGGCTTATGGGGAGAGGCAGAGCAGATTTTTGTGGGGACCTGCTGCTCTCCCATATGCCGGCAGTATTGGAATAAACACTCATATGATTCAACCCTGTCTCTGCTTAATTGGTTCAAGTAGTGACAGGCAGCCCGGACCTCAGGTAACGTAATGATAAAAATATTCTTTTTGTTTCCCTAATATCTAAAGACATCTATGAAAACACACATGAGAAAACTATATGTTCTGTAGTGGAAACTATTGAAAACCACTGGTGTAACTAGTCTAGGGCAGAGGTTTTCAAATTGCTTTCTACTGTTCCCTGGGGTTCTTGAGATCCTGTCAGAGGGACTCAGAGGTAAGAATTATTTCAAGCCTGGCCCACGTGGCTCAGGGGTTGAGCATCAATCTATGAACCAGGAGGTCACGGTTCGATTCCTGGTCAGGGCCAGTTGCAGGCTTGATCCCTGGTGTGGGGCCTGCAAGAGGCAGCAGATCAATGATTCTCATCATTGATGTTTCTGTCTCTCTCTCCCTCTCCTTTTCTCTCTGAAATTCATTAAAAAAACATTTAAAAGATTATTTAATAATAATACCATGACTCTTGCTGCTTTGTTCACTTATTCATTCACTCACTCACTCATTCACTGTCTCTAGTGTACAGTCGAGTTTTCCAGAGGCTACTATTATGTGATATATGATGTAGCAACAGATTGAATATAGATGCAGATATTAGAATTTGCCTCTATCACTTAAGCCAGTCATTAAAGAGTTTTAAAAAGCACAAAATAATGCCACCCTTCTCCCCAAGTTAACTTTGTTTTGGAAAATATAGTTAATTTTCAGAAAATACTTAACACTTAAAGGGCTTCATATTTTTAAATGAATAAATATTTTAAACAGTTTTCTGTTTTTGTTTCTAATTTGGTAAATATTGATAGATTAACACATATAAACTACAGTTCTTTGGACTCTTCTATAATTTTTAAGAGTTTAAAGGAGTCCTAAGACCAAAAAGTTTAAAAACATTGGTCTGAGGCTATTTTGTGTACCAACCCTAAGCTAGATTTCTTCCCACATGCCAACAATCATCTGATAACTGTGGACACAACTTTCTCATATGTCTGGAAACAGAACAAACCAGCTTGAGGAATGTACCCATCATTATAGCTAGCAGATGAATGGAAATAAGGCCAAGGGGAGATTTGGAAAGCAAACTTTTCCATTTCAGTTGAAGATTCTGCTCTAAGAGCTGATACATGGCTTGGTCTCTATCCTACCATTTGATACCGTTCCACTTACAGTAACCAAATAATATAGACTTTTCTGGTAGAATTCCTTTGTAAATAACAGTATAGTAGACAATTTTCCTAGTGTTTTTTCCTTTACCTATTGTGATAATTATTGCTCGATCTTTGGCTAGCTCTCAGTATTCCTACGGTGGCCCCAGAAGTTACAGCTGGATTATGAGAATTGTACTAGTATGTCTGGGTAAATAGCCCAACACAATACGGTCACTGAGTCAAATTTTACAGTGGAGTCAAGCATGCATTTCCTAACCCTGGTTGTATGTCTGATTTTCAGATGTCGTATATTGATCATAGTATCTACTACATTATCTTCAAAGTCCATGCTTGTTTCATTCTATGAGCTCTTATTGAGCATAATATTGAAAGAGAAGAATAAATGCTCTACTTTATAACAATGATTTATTTGTTATTTTTATTATCTGAATAAAAATAACACTTAAACAGTGCACCCTATACATAAAGGAAAAAGTTTAAAGTCGTACAGGCAGCAAATAAGTTTTGGATACCACATTTTCCTCAAAATGATTCGGATTTAGCAAATCAATGTTAAGTGGTTTTATAATCACACGTATTTGGACTTGCAAATATTTATTTATGGAATTATGTGCATATTAATTATCCCAGTTTAATACCATTATAACCTAGAAACTTGAAATATTTTTCATAGCAGTGTATCAGTCAGTGTCATGTTTAGAAGACAGAAACCACCTTAAGGATTTCAGACAAAGGGAACGTAATGCAGTGATTTGGTTGCAAAAGTATTATACACTGGAGGAGCCCAAAAAGGGACAATAAGGATACCCTGATATCAGTAAGTGCAGAATCACGAGCTCACCTAAGGCTGGAGGAACCAGGGGTTTACTGGGGCTCCCAGAAGCTGACTCACAGGCGGCTGAAGCACTTCTGTTTGAACTACCACAAGAGGAAGCCAGGAGACCCTTTGCTCACAGAGGCCACAGGAATCCAGGACCTCATGGCCACCAGCAGTCACCTACCCCTGTCACTGCCAGAGACAGGAACAAGAAAAGAATCACCTCCTCCCTCTCACTTTTTATTTGTTTACTAGCAGCCCAGCATGTGAAATCACACAGCCCTGCCCATTCGGGCGGGCCTCACCTCTTGAACACACCCGCCACTTCACTGCCCACGGGCTGCTAGCCTTGCTGCGATTGGAGCCTGTGGGCCATGAGGGAGGGACCGAGAGGTGCTCCATGCACTTCATGGTGACCGGTCATTTGGTCATTACAGCATTACGGCATTATGGCCACTGGCCTTTTATAATATAGACTAGAGGCCCGGGGCACAAAAATTTGTGCACTCGGAGGGGTCCCTCAGCCTGGCCTGCGCCCTCTGGCAGTCTGGGACCCCTTGGGGGATGTCCACCTGCTGGCCAGCCCAAACAGGGGCAGGGC